CTGTCCGAAGCCACAGGCTACAATAGCATTTAAACTCCTAAAGCGCTGACTGACACTGAAAGTAAAACAGTAAATGAAGTGCCGAAGTAAAAGTCAGGAACTCTGCTATTTCTGCAGGCTCCAGCCATGAGATTTTATTGAAGAAACAGGCTGGTGGTTTTCACGATTTGCAGCTTCATTTTCTGCAGCTTCACCTCATCCCATTGCTGCTAGAGCCAGCTTCGTTCCCAGACTTACTTCTCCACCTTCCTAAATATCCCCCACTGGCTCATGCTGCCTGTCTCAGAGAGATGGTACTAGAGCTAGCAGCCACCTCCCACCGCGCACCGTCCCCTCCCAGCTCCCCCCATCTTCACAGCATCGCAGTATCCAGTAACGGCTGCGGTACGTTTGGAGCCAAACGTCATCGTATCTCGCTGCTCCGCTGCTACCGTCTCCTCTGCGTAGATGATCTACAGTTACACCTGCTCGTCTTAACGGCATTGACACCACTGACATACACAGCCACAGCCTGCTGTCACCCCTAGCCTCAGCCCCACCCCGCACACCCCCAGCCAGCTGTAGCTCCGGTGTAGCACCCCAGCACCCAGCTCCGCAGTGGCGAGGGAAGAGCAGGAGGGAGAGCACCATGGAAACAAGCCCCAACAGGGAGGGGAACGTATCAGCTTACGCTACAGCAAACCCATCAGTTAAACACAGAAAACGCGTGATTTCAGTTCACTGGGTTGTGATCCCCCCAAAAAATCCAAGGGATAGAGGAAGGAGCACTTAATGCATGGAAAAGAGAGCAAGAACTCTCCTTTGCTGGCCAAACAGACATGAGAAAATAAAAAAAAAAAACCCAACATATTCTCATGCCTGCCTCCACCGGCTCAGGTTTTGGCTGGGACAACCCCTTCAGCCTGTCCAGCAGCCCCAGAGGGAGCAGGGCAGGCTGACACGCCAGGGGTGGCGGGGAGCAGACACGTGGCAGGCAGGAAGGCCGGGGGGCTGCGGTGTGTTTGCAGCATCTGCCCTCCATCAGAGGACAAGGCTCCCTGCCCCATGCTGGCAAGCACGGTGGCGGCACGGACCCTGCCCGGGGGAAGATGCCTCCACCCTGAGCCCCCGCTGGCTCCCATCTCGGCAGAGAGCCCTGGAGCTTTCTCAGCACACCAGGGGAAGCTCAGTGGGACGCAGGCCTATTCCAGCACCAGCTTTGGGGGCTGGTCTCTCTCCGCCACCCTCCAGCCCCCCCAGAAGCCCACACCATGGGAGGCACCTCACACCCCCAGCATTCAACTGGGCTCCTCAGGGTGTGACTACTTCCCAGAAACAAGGCTTAAAATCCTGAGGGCAAGGCCAATCCCTATAGGCTTAGCATAATCTGCAAACAAATAGACAACACCACTCGCCAACACCAAACTTGCCTCCGAGAGGGCTGTCAGGAGCTGTGGCTGCCAAGGAAGAAGCAGGACAGGCCGCGGAGTCTCGTGTGGCCCTGGGGACAACCCAGCCATCAGCAGCCCTGGTTGCCCTTGGTCACTTTGATGGATTTAAGGTTGCAGGAGAGCCCACTACTGACGAAGCGCCCGTGGCGCTGCTTACCTGGCAGCACCACCTTTATCCCCACAGCATTGGACCTGGCGGTGGCCGCTGGCTGCCCCAGTGGTGGGGTGTTCCTCCTCCAGACCTCCAACTCACACTGGTACATCCCCTCGTCGGCAGCGGTGGCACCGGGGATGCGCAGCCTGAAGGAGGTGGCAGCCTTCACCAGCTGGGCTTTCCCCTGGAAGCGTGGCTGTGCTGCCCCCCAGGCCACTGTGCCGTTTGGAAAGAGCCGGACCAGCTCCTGGTGGTGGCTGGTGGCCGGGCTGGGCTGGAAGAGCCACGTCACAGACATCGGCACCCTCTCAAGGGTGTAGCTGGCGCTCACTTGGCAGACGAGTTCAAAACTCTGCTCGTATCTAACAGTGGCAATTCGGCTTCTCAACGTGGCATGCAGACCCAGACCTGCTCAGGAGGAGAGAGCCCTTGGCGCAGGGACAGACATCCTGCCCCGTGCCACCTCACCTCTGCCCACCCCGCGCACCACCATCCCCGCTGCCCCAGTCACCGCAGCCCCATGGCACCCAGCAGTCCTGCTGCTCCTCCACCCATGCCGCTCTCCCCCAAGCTGTGCTGGACCCCATGCTCTGGTCCTCTCCTAACTTGTCCCCCACACTCACCCCCCCAGACAGCTCCAACTACCCTCTTTTCCAGGCTCCCCAGTCCCAACCTGTGCAGGGAGTCAGGGATCCTCTGCCGATGCTGCTGTCCCGTTCCCTGCTTCTTTCCACCCTCCACAAAAGCCTAACTACTCCTGTGGCCCAATTTGGTGATCTTGGGCACTCAGCCCAGCAGTAAGAAAGGAAAAACATCCTAAGTCACAGGCAGAAGCTGCCTCTTCATGAAGGCACCCACACCAGCGATCAGCAGAAGAAATGGCATGGGCAATGCACGCCGGGGAGGCTGGCAGCTCTGCGCTCAGAGCAGGAGGAGCGGTCAGACTGCAGCACCGGGAGCGCATCTCTGACAAAGGCCACCACACAGCTCAGCAAGCGCCTTTGTTGAGCTTAATTACTGTAAGTAATTATGCCGCCAGAAAAGATATAATGTACACTAAGGAGACAGAAGACCTGCTGAGCAAGCCACTGCCTTTCAGGTCTCTGGGCATTTCAGCTGTTGTGTCCCACTTGTCTCTCCCAAAACATCTCATGGGGCACTTAAGCGCCCTGCTAGAAACAGGGAAAACTGAGCGCTCCAGTGATCAGCCCCACGTCACCCTGCAGCCAGGGGAGCTCAGGGCACAGCAGACCTGTCTTACCCACATGCATCCACCCGCTCTGCCAGCCTCGTCTCCAGCGTGTCCACCTCGAAAGCCCAAAATAACGGTGGGCCAACTCACCCATGGAGCGGACTGTCACTGTTGTCTCTCCTTCCTCTGTCCATCTCTGGCCTCGGGACCACTCCGTCGCTTTGCACCCATACTGCCCACCGTCACTCTCATCCAACGTGTTGGGGATCACCAGGGTGAAAGCGCTGGGGCTCATTTTCTCCAGCCGGAGGCTTCCCCGAGTCCCATCATCCCGGTAGGTGCTGCCCAGGCTCAGGGTGCCATCCTGCTCCATGGCGGCCACCAGCACGTGGGGACCCGGGTGCTGCGGGGGCAGGTGCCACCACTCCACGGACACAGGGCTGGCTGCTCCTCGCACCTCACACAGGAGGATCACGGCGTCTCCCGCCGTGACCTGGGGCGTGCTGCTGGACACAGACAGGCGCAGGCGGCTCTCTGCAAACAACAGTTACTGCATGGGAGGGGACCTTGTGGGCCTCGGGGAAAAACAGAGATAACCTGGCACTGAATGAAGGGACTAAATAAGTCGACATTGGACAAGGAAAGGAATTGTCTGAAATTTTCTACCAGCCTTTTCTTATAACTTTGGAGCGGACATTGTGGGGTTTTGGGGTATTTTTTTTCCTTCTTTAATGCCTTTCCTAGGCCATGGATACATAAAAAAAAAAAAATAAACAGATGCAACAGGCAGCTCTTGCTACATCAGAATAGTGATCATCTAGTTATAACAAGGAAACCAAGAGTCTTCTACATGTCTTTCTTACAGTGGTTCTCACACGTCATCCCTCCAAAACAGAGAGAGCACCCTGATGGAAATGGTGCTGATGCAATGACCCATCCAGCCCAGAAGCACCTGTTCTGGGTCACCCTGTGATCCTCAGAAGTAGCAACAAGGCATTCATAATTTTCTCTACCAAAGACACAGGAGGACCCAACCTCCCTAGAACTCCACCTATTTGCCCCAAAACTCATTACGAAGAGACTGAGCTAAAGGTTGACAGCTTGCTGACAGCTGCTGCACCTGTCATGCTAACATTTGCCAGAACAAGTGCTTTTCCCGTTATTACCTGCCAAAGTCCATGGCACATTTGCGCTCTTGCCCCTGCCAAGAGGAGGCCAGACTTGAAGCGTTCCGCAGCCAGGGATCACTGCAGGCTTTATCCAGAAGGGCATGAGGATTTACTAACCTATTGGCTTCACGTCAACTTGGATGCCCGATGACAGGTTGGTTTGAGTGCTGTGAAAGTCTCCAGGAGTCTTCACCTCCGAAACAGAACAGCGGTAGGTACCGTTGTCCTTCAGCCCCACCTCACAGATGGTGAGGACATAAGCTGTGTTGCTTTGCTTGAATGCTCGGAGCTGCCCCAGCTTGGCTCTCTCCTCATATTCTTCCTCCAAAATCAATACCCCGTGGGGGTCAACCCTGACCATTTCCATGCTGTTGAGGAGCCAAAGCACTTGGAAGTGCCTGCTGCTGCTCTTCTGGGCTCCCACCATGCAACGCAGCTGCAAGGTATCACCCTCAGAAAGGGAGCTTTCCACAGCAGCGATGTCCACGGAGAGGCCTCTGTCTGTGGGCAATCAGAAGAAAAGAGGGTGCTGAGTGGCCCTGCCCGTGCTTCCCCCCTGCCTGGCTGTGCAGAGGGAGACAGGAGGGAATTCTCTATCAAAACATTTTCTTTGATTAGAAAAATGATCAGGATGTAAAATTTTCCCCTGGGGACATGGTTGCTGGTTCTAGGCACTAACCAGCAGTCACAGGTAGAGGAAGCATCAGATCTCCGAGGAGTTAGCTCCCTGCTTCAGACCAGCTAATCCCCCAGAGCAGAGCACTCAGTGGCATTGCCACAGTCACCCCTGCTCAGCTCAGGTGTCCCAGAGGCATTGGCTTTTGCAGGGATCTGCTCCATCTTGCCTCCTGGAGCTGTTCTGCTTCACAGAACAAACATCTCAAGCCAGAAAGGGGCACAAAGGGGCTTTATCACTCGGTGGTCTTTTTATTTCAGCTGTCTGTGGTGGGAGAAGGCACACGGAGGGCTGGCAATCAAGTTATCCAAATCGTGTGCTGCTGGTCCCACATGTTGTAGCCCTCACTGGCTGCTGCAGGATGTGGGCAAGAGATACTAAGTTAGGGAGTTTTTGAGTTAGACCCCACAGAAAGCAGAAATGTCAAGTCTTGTCACCACAGGAGGAGGCTGGAGGGAAGCAAGAGGAGGTGGTCATCTCCTAGCCCCTGTCCTGTGTCCCCTACTGACCTGCTGCAGGTGCTGACCAAAGAGGGGGAGCACAAAGTCATCTTTTCCTCAGCAGACCCTCTTGAGCAGTCAGCCCCACTGAGTTGAAGACCCTGTCTCTGGGTCTGTGATGTGATTCATCTTCCTCATGGGGCATTCAAAGCCTCTGCCACTAATGCTCCCTGGTTCCTGGCTTCAGCCCAGCTGGAAAGCAGCTGGGGTAGAGACACACAGGGTGCCCTGACACCCTGCACCATGGCTCCCACAGTAGTAGCACAGCTGAAAAACAGGAGGTAGGGCAGACCTCCGGCCCCATCTCCTCGGGTCACTGTGTTACCCCTGCGTCTAGCAAGGCCACGTGCTGTAGTCTGGAGGTAAACCAGAGCAGCTCTCAGGCTGCCTCTGGAAGGGCTCAAATAATTTACTGAGAGCAGAGAACCCTCTGAATTTAAACACTGGTTCATAAACGGTTTGTGACCAGGAATCCCAGTCACTGCAGATATGTTCGGCATCCCCAAATATTTGCTGGAGAGTTTGTAAAAACCGCTGGAGCAGTCGGCCACAGTCAGAGTGGCTGCTGGCTCCTGATCTGATGGGGTGCTCAGCCCCGCAGCCCAGACTCCCCCCCGCTGGGCACTGGAAGGAGCCCCCAGCCCCACAGAGGTGATGGAGTGCTCATATGCCTGCCACAGTTTCCCTCTGGCAATACCAGCAGCTCTAACGCAACCCGAAGGTTGTCCTCTTGCCACCATTGCCTCCCTTCTGCCCTTAGTGGCTACCACAGTGCAAATCCTAAGCCCTGAGAAGTTTTCTCTAAGCGTGGCACCGGTACTCAGCATTGCACTCTACCAGTCAGG